TTATCTCACAAGCCCCCCTCCAAAAGCTCCACGTTCCCCTCCGCACATACATACATATATAAACGCATCTTTATGGAAGCAAGTGGCAACTGCACACCCGGAAGGGGGCAGGATAAAGATCACCTTGAATTCAAAGCAAAGGATTGAGGCCTTGGCGGACTGAACGGACAGCAACACAGGTTACGGTGCCCAACTTTGTGTGTGAATGCATGTGAGAGAAAAAGTAAAAGGAAGAGATTGCAGAAATGAAAGGCACAGGAAAAATCTAAATTAAATGATAGTAATTATAGATAGAAATTACTACATTAGTTCGTAAAAAAAAAATAGTTGGGAGTGTATTATAATTGGAGAAAGTGGAAAAAGGAAAAAATACTTAGTGATTTGAGATTGAAAACTGCACTAAGGAAATACAAAAGGTGACAGCCTCAACAACCTGAAAATGTACAGAATGTTGCATATTTATTTTAGTTCAACCAGATATTATCTGGTATCCAATTTTGTTTAAAAACTCTCTAGAACCAGGGTTTTTTAACCAGGGGACCCCTGGGGGTCTGTGAAGGTACTGCAGAGGTCTGAGGGGAAGATATATGAAACTGGTTTTTCTGTTAGCTATTTGCATTAACATAATGCTCTGGTGAGCAATATGTAATTTTATAATGGTAATGTTTTTTAAATGTAAGATATTACAGACTGTTATTGTGAAAATAAACATTTCTATATTGTGGGGTCCCTGGGTTGGCTGAGTATCTGCATGGAGGTCCCTGGGTCTATAACTGTTGAAACCCCCTATCTAGGATACTGTAAGAATTTGGTGATTTAAAAACATTGTTAAGTCTATAAAATACTAGATTGACTAAATGCACTTCTGAACCTTTATATATTCAAAATCCTATGAAATGCTGGTAATGGAAAAATTGAATGTGGGTAGCCTGTAATTTATAAATAGGGTTGCCATCCATTAAAAAGTACCGACTGCGCATAGAATTAAGTGTGTTAAAAAAAAGAGAGAGAGAGAGAGAGAAGTCAGGTTAGTCTCTTAGCAGTTTCTCATACACTTTATGTTTTAAAAAGGCTTGTTCTCTGGCTGTGAGGGAAGAGTACCCTTCTCTCTTTGCACTGGCCAGTGATTGAAGTTAGGAACTCGCTCCATGGCTAATTGCACGCCGGTGCTTTCACATGAATATTCATGCCTGCGTCTTCAGGGCCCCGCCTAATTAGCCCAAAGGTAAGTCGCGAGTTGGAGAGAGATAGCCCACACCTTTTACGGAAAGGGAAACATTCCCGTTCCATTCCCTCGGGATGCTTGCGGAATCGCCTGAGTTCATTAACCAAAAAAAGAGAGAAAGAGGTACCTGAAAAAGCGCAGGATGTGTCTGTAAATTCGTGGCTACCCATTACACATGTCTGTCAAAGTGAACCGGTGAAAACAAACGGGGGAAATAGAATGAAAGGTGAATCTTTAGTGGAGCGAATCTTTAATTAAAACACTCATTTCAGTCGATACGTATGGCACTTTCTAAAGTTGGGTAAAAATTCGTTATTTTGTATCTATTTTTAAAAGTGTTTAAAAGTGTCAAAATTTACTTTTCTCAGCATTTTCTTTTTCTTATAGCCTACAGTGGCCTCCCTCATTAGACACCAAAAGAGATTATTCATCATAATTATTTTCCCTTGTTTATGTATTGTTTTGCAGCATTAATTTTTATTATTGATAAGCCTACGTGACACTGAAATATTACAGTGCATTCATTACACACTAAGTATGCAGTTAATGTATTACCAACTGACGCTATAGTATTGTTTTTAACCCGATTGTTATGTTTAAGCTGGAGTCTTTTAGCTTTATTTTCTAATTTATAGTTTAATCTGACTGATGATAAAACATTTTAGAACATTTTTAGAAGTGTATTGATGCAATAAAATTCATACAAATGCAGAAATGTGAATTTCTGTATAAGAGAATGCTGATACAACGTGTGAAAGAAAAGATAAAAGAAAGGTCAAAACAAACAATGAAACTTTTCAATCTCTAATATGATAATGAAAGGTTTTGCACGTGAATTGTTTTTGCTTTTGGTACCCACAGATAACGCCGTGTAGCCTATATTTGCTGTTTTCTGAACTTACTCTCCTGTGCACTTTTACGGTCTATGGTTAATGGAGGGTTTGACCGACCAGACTCTAATTATATTCAACTGGAGGGGGTCCCTCGTGCAGATTAAAGCACGTGACTACAGACGCGTGAATCGTGAGAGAAAAAAAAAACTAGATCCGTAGGAGCCAATTTTACATTTTTGTAAACGAAAGAAAACATATTTTATGAAAATTAAACTACACGTTTCTCATATAGAGCTAATGAATATCAAATGAATTAATGAGATAATAAAAGCACATTTTCCTGCAAAGACTTTCATTTATTATTTTAATATTTTAATTCAAACTCAGTCTGGTTTAAGCTAAAGAAAATCAACTTATAACAGAGATAAGTACAACTTTTTCTTAAACTTCGATCTATAAAATTCTGTAACCAGATTTAGTACATCCTGGATACTAAAAGGCCACAATTGTTCCCTACTGTCTTTCATTGCCATCTTACTAAACAAGGGCTATTATTTGTCTTTTCCTGTATGGCAAATCATTCATCTGCAGGATCAGTGTGATCCTTTCAAACCGCTCTCCATAGCAACCTCGTGCATCCCAGGAAAAATTCACCTCGCTCCACACAAGGCCATATTTTTTGCGAAAGGGAAAAAAGGAGCATCTGAGCGGTTTTTGAACCACTTTCTTTCGCTGGCAAACTAAGCGAAGAGTTTGACTGTGCTGCTACTGTGACGCAGCTCTCTGGGCATAAATGACCGCTCTTTTTATAGACTTCCAAATGAGGGGAAACTGTACAGTGAAGCATCCTCATTAACTGCGGCTCTCTGGGGCAAAACCGGCCATCGCATTGCAATCTTGCAAACTTTTAAAAAATCTTATCATCTGCTTTCCTATAAATTCTTGTGGCTTACATATTAATTTTCGCCCTAGGTCACGCACAAACATATATAGAATTTGTAATATTATCGTGGACACAAAACCACCGCGTTTTTCATCAAAGAAACAGTGGTTACAAATTACAGTTGTTTAGAAATCTAGCCTAATTCAGACAATATAATCAAAAAGGGAAGGAGTCTAATATAAACGCTTCAAAGCTTTAGATATAAAGATGTCAAATCATTCTTATAAAAACACATGTTAGTTTAGATGCTCTACTGAAGTTATCAAATTAAAAAACAATGCATAATCGTTCCCCTTAAGAAGACAGATACATGCCAGTTTGTGTCGACCACCTGAGAAAATCGTATTAAAGTAACCTTATCTTGTATAAATGACGCGTTATAATCAGCTGTTCCTTTAAAAAAAATGTAGAAATTTCTTCTACAAGTGTTATTGCATATGTGATAGATAAATAAATAACTGGTGGCTTTACATAACCACGCCTTTGACAGAGTGGTGACGAGCACTTGTGACCCCAAGAACATCATTTAGGTTACACTTCCATGAACGCGTGAAGCTTGTGCAGATGGACAGATAGGAAAAGCAGTAAGCAAACTTACCACAGAGAAGTGTTTTGGTTTGACGCTTGAATTCTCCGCATGTAACGGCACATTTCCTCGCAAAAGCCTGTGGAAACACCCCATAAGAGCAAGACAAACACACAAACACGAACGTGAACTAAAAAAAATGCAGTGAGGTAAATAATTTAAATAAAAGTGATACCAAAAAAATCTTCTAAAAAAGCTGTGGTTTTAGATGGAATCGAACGTGTGCCTGATTGCGGAGTTTTAGACGACTGGAACAGGAGAGATGTAAGATTTGTTTAAAGCCCCACATTTCCATTTAAGAACGTGATTGTGTTTGCAAAGATCCCTTTCAATCTTCGCATCTCCCCCTCTCTACCCCTCAGCGTCTCCGAGGCTGCTTTGCAATTCATAGAGTTGGTAATTTGCTATTGGGACAAAACGTGAAGGGAAAAATAATCAGATCAGCCGGGAAAGGAATACGGAGGAGGCCAGAAGGGAGAAACACTGGATTTCTCTCAAAGTTACTGTTTAGAATAATGCTTCGAGTGAAGATATTGTCAACACACCGCAGCTTTTGTGTGGACTTTGTATGTTTGTTCAAATTTGTTGGCTTAGATATAAGTTTATTAACCCAACAACTGAAATTTACTGATTTGTAAATGCTCAAGTGATTTTTGCTGAAATTTACTTCAAGGGAAATTTACATAAATAAAATGCGTACACACTGCATAAATAAAATGAGATGGATAGTGTTTTCTATAGGCTCGGTGGTAGATTGTTAATGCATTCATGCATAATGATGCGATTGTCTCGTATGTTACAGAGTGGGCGGTCTGTATTTCTGTATGATGTTTAATTAATTCGATGCATGGTTCTGTGATTGTGCATTCGTGTGCTACTTCAATAACACGATCATCGTAAATAATTGTGCATGTGGATAACAATTAAATGATATTGCTGTATAAACATCTTTTAATGTACCTACATACTGATCTTCATCTTTCTCGTGGGTGGCTCCTGAGATACTTTAGAATACTAATCTACTTGCAAAGAGGACAGTTACTAAAAGAGGCAACGCAAGACGGGTCATTCTTCCACCCCACCAAAAAGAGTACCACACTCCCCCACGTGGTTATTTGCAAAACAACCCTCAAAGCCCAATAATTTCCAACGGTTTTGCTGCTTACGCTCTCTTGACTAACGGGGAGAGGAGAAGAAAGGGAAAAAAGGGAAAGCGTCTAGTGAAAGCGGCCAATTGCGAGTAACTGGGATCAAGGCGCCCGGCAGCCAACCAAGCGGCCCGCGAGAGGTAATAAGGAAACCTGGTGGGCTGTAGTCGGCGAGGAACCAATGCACGCGCAGGGGAGGCGTGTCTTTGCTCTTCCCTAAGACCTCCCAGAGCAGGCTGTTGCGTTTTGGGCTCTAAAGCTCAAAGATCTCCGAAGTGCTTGTCAGTTTTCTAAATCGGAGCCATGGCGACAACAGCTCAGTATATTCCGCGGAATAACTCATTGCCTTCGAACCCGCTAATGCATCCGGATTCGGACAGGATGCACCAGGGGACGACCTACAGAGAGGTGCAGAAAATGATGCACCACGAGTACTTACAAGGGCTAGCGACCAACACGGGACATCCGATGAGCCTAACGCACCACCAGTGGCTGCCCACCTCCAACACCGACTGGACCAGCGGCACCCACATCGGACAAGCAGAGCACAACAAAGGCAGCGTGCAGAGCAGAGAAGATCTGGGGAACGGCTATCACAGATCGCATCTGGTCCACCAGCCGACGCAAAACAGCCACCACGGATCATGGGCGCCGACCACAACGCACCACTTATCCCCGCTCTCGCCCGCCTCCAACGGTCACCAGTCGCTGGTCTACTCTCAGACGGGCTACACTATGTTAAGCCCCCAGCCGTCGCTGCACCACGGCTTGCGGGACCCGCTCCACGACGACGCGGGGAGCCATGATAACCAGATGGAGTCACCTCAGCAGCCGTTCAGCCACCATCAGGACCACTCGGACGAAGACGCCCCAAGCTCCGACGACCTGGAGCAGTTCGCCAAACAGTTCAAGCAGAGGCGCATCAAACTTGGTTTTACGCAGGCGGACGTGGGCTTAGCGCTGGGCACGCTCTACGGAAACGTCTTTTCCCAGACCACCATCTGTAGATTTGAGGCTCTGCAGCTGAGTTTCAAGAACATGTGCAAACTTAAGCCTCTGCTTAACAAATGGCTCGAGGAGACAGATTCAAACACGGGCAGCCCCACGAATTTGGACAAGATTGCAGCACAGGGCCGGAAACGAAAGAAGAGGACCTCCATCGAAGTCGGAGTCAAAGGGGCACTGGAGAACCATTTCTTGAAGTGCCCCAAGCCCTCCGCCCACGAAATCACCAGTTTAGCTGGCACTCTGCAGTTGGAAAAAGAAGTTGTGCGTGTGTGGTTTTGCAACAGAAGACAGAAAGAGAAAAGAATGACACCGGTGGGGGTCCTTCATCCAACAATGGAGGACGTATACTCGCAAGCGGAGACACCCCCTCTCCATCACACGCTACAGAGTCCTGTCCAGTGACTGCTATAATAAACAGTGTCCTTGTTTGAAAAGAATCTACGATGGATTTTGTTTATCCCCTTTGTTTGTTTAGGCCTATCCCAAGACATCAGAGACAGAAAGTTTAGGAAGAGTTCGCTGACAGTGAGCGGACAGCTTACGGGACGCCAGTAATTCTGAATAACGTGAAAATGCGTTAATAACCGCGCCAGCTTCGCGCGCATTTATCAAATCAGTACCCGTGTTTACGAAAATCGTATCGTTTGTGCCACTCTGGAAAAATTCGATCCTTTCACTGCCGATCAAAGGGAGCTACGAGCCACAAAAAGGGCAATGTCTCCTTGGACAAAGGAGAGGGGACAGTGATTCTATTAAAGCGAGTAACCAGATTAATGATCACAATGATTTATCTGATATTATTTGTGTTGTTTACTTTATTTGGAATGTTTTAACGTTAAGATCTTTTTTTTTTCTGTCTAGCGAGTATTTTACATTAATTTCAACTAAGACAGATGAAATTCGTGATGTAAAGAACAGGCACTTCGTCAAAACCTCCAAAACAAGCAAGTGCACCAGAAACTGTTTACAATGATCATTGCTTAGCATCTGATACCGTCTAAAGATGCATAGACGTTAAAATGGCAACATGAATACACTGTCTGAAACAATATTTAGTCATATTGAGTTCTACTGCTTTCATTTTTTTCCCTCTTTGCATGAGGCACTTATAATGTTATTTTATTTTATTTCACAATGTATTTGTTCGAGGTATACGACATTAATGCTTTGGTTGTTTACGGTTTTCTTTTCCAATTTCGTGTTATTTTGAACCGGCACTATTCCAGCAAGTCTGCTCCCGCTGAACATATTGAGAGTGATGCGTCAAAATGAAAAAGAAAGAAATATCTCAGGTAATTTTCAGTGCCCAAAAATCGTGCTGTACTCTTATTCTTCTTGAATATTGGCCAACTCTTGACACTCTCTATGTCAGCTGTGCCCGTTTAGTTTATGTTAATGACATTTTGCATCCTACTCATGAGCCTGGACAAGGCGAAAAGTAGTTGTTGTAGTGAATAAGGGATGTGTTTTCGGGACTTCTTTTCAGGATTGGGGAAAAAATAGGAGGCTGATAACGTTTCGTGTTGTTTCTCAAGGTCTGGCATTTTTCATTGGACAGCAGGTGTTGATTTCTCCAATGTTATTTGAAACAGTGTGAATATACAACCTTTTCCAAAAAAGTAATAAAAAGAAAAATAAATGACGAGAAAAGATTTTAAATAAATAGTTGTCAGGATTATTTCCAGTATGTAAATATGTCGAATATGTAAACATATGTATTTGTTCTGGGTTCGTTTTGTTTTGTTTTGTTTTGTTCTGTTTTCCGGGCAGTTTTGTACACTTACTAATTCCAAGAAGATATTTTAATATTTCATTTATGACCATTTATATATCTATATATTTATTTCCTAAGTGTGTTTGGAGCTTTTTTTTGTTCGGCTCTGTTGATTATGTTGCAGTGGATTACAAATGTTTTGTTTACTACATTGGTTGTATGTTGATTGCGAAATGTAGACTGCAAAGTCACGTTTATATTTATGTTATAGTAATATTTTATTACTTACATAAAACATATATACAAGAACACGACTTCTGTCTTTTTTGAAGCACATTTTCACGCATATCGTGGTGATAGTGAACGAAATAAGAGTTCATGAAATGACTCTCAGGATTTTGTGTTTATTGCGATTCGATCCTTAAAAGCATTGGGACTCACGCTATACTATTTTGTTCATGCACGATGAATTGATGAAAAATAATTTACATAAGAAACTAAATTTTAACGTAGACAATCATATAGTTAAAACAAAAAAAATGTAAACTATGTTTTAAACTATATTTTGCGTACTAGAATTGTTGAAAATTCGCTTATTTCGCCCTGTTGAAACATAATTAAAACGTCTATAAATAAAAAATTACAATCTGTGTGAAAGAACTCTACAACATAACGGCACTATTAGGTCTACAACAATGCGTTTATCTATTGAGGTACCTCAACCAGTTAAAGTCTAATACACAATTCATTTCATACATTTCCAGTTTTTTAATTCTATAAACTCCATTGGTTTATACATTTTAAAAGGTATAGTTTGTGGTTGTTCTAAAACCCAGTTATTTGTTTAGAACACCAAAATCCTGATCGTGCACATTTAAAACTCAAATTATCGCCTTGACCATTTTCTAAGAAAAACGTTAAATACATAAAAGGACAAAGCTAAATTCGTTTGATTTCACATGAGCCTGGAATTGGGCATTTGCTGTGATAGTTTGTTTTCATCCGTGACTTGCAAATCAAAATTCGAAGATTCTTATTTCTCTTCTAAGCATCTTCTTTTGATGGTGCTGATTTCCCGTATAAACAACACCCTCAGTTCATGAATGTAGCTGTTAGCTCTCATTAATCGTTATCGTTTGCTGTGATGTATATTTCTCCTGTTTAATAACTTTTAAGAAAGGCTTGAGACAAATCAAACCATGCATGCTCAGGATGCTGATAAATGCCGCTTAAAAATGAACGCGGTCATATGAAATCTATATGGGATGTTATTAGTTAGTGAGTGATGTAAAGAGTAAAAAATGGCATTGCCATCTTTACAAATAGGGCCTAATAAAAATGTGATAACAATATTTTAAATCTGTCGTTGGATATGTAAATATTTTCCCCATTTAAATAAAGTTTTCATTGACTATTTTATTTCTATTCGTTTTCCCCGGCTCTTCTCCGTTCGCATTGGATTTGGGGTGCTAGTAGAGAACGTACAGCCATACAAAATTAATTAAAAATGAGGTAGTTTATGAAGTAGGCTACAAATCATTTTTACAACTGATTTTTTTTTACTATTTTAGTATAAATTAATCTCAGCATAAACTAGCTTTGCCAGTAGTCAAAATTAAGATACCAACCGAGAACAGGTTTGTTAGCCTATAAAATAAACATAAGTGACCAAGTTTAAAATTCTTATACCTTCTTTTCTTTTAGTATTCTTTTTTTTTTTTCAATTTATGTTAGAAAACTAACATTTCTGGTTTATGATATATGTGATACGAGCTGTGTGTCCAATTATTCAGGCATCGCATTGGAAGAGAAGTTATGAGAAAACAGTGATTCCCAAGCGCCCCCTAACGACGTAAAGAATTAAAGCACGAGCTACGGTGCACTGGGTTTGTGGTTCAATTTTTTCACAATGCTCTTCAAAGTCAGCCTAATAATCCATTGTTTCTCAAAAGATGTGCTTCCTTTAATCCCATGCTAACATTTATCTAAAAAAGTGTATATTTCAAATAATAACTGAGAAATTTATGTTAGAAATTAGTCAATTTTTTTATAGGTTGTCTTTTGGCACACTTTTTCTTCTAATAAATCAGCTTCCTAAAATGGAGACTTATTCCCAAAGCTTTACAGTCAATAGGCCAACTCTAAAAGAATCTGTATTATTCCATTATTTCCTCTTATTTATTATCTAATGCTCGTTGGGAAATGGGATGAAATCGACAGGGATATTTTCAACTATATGTCTATTTAGGCTACCAGTTGTAAAAACAAAACAAAAAAGAGACAGAAAGACCAGGAAAGATATAAGCATCTTAGAATATGCAGTAACTTGTCGTGTTTTAGCCCACCCTGATAGAGGGAAAAGGTGGTATAGGACTGCATGGTGAAGACTGTGGAATTGAAGAGCGATGTTATACCTGCGAGAATTTGTGGCACAAAGACTATTCAGTCATTTAGAGTAAAAGCATGGAATGTACCAAGAAGAGAAGAGAAGTTTGTGTGTGTGTGTGTGTGTGTGTGTGTGTGTGTGTGTGTGTACACCGTGTGCATACATAAGTCTTTTTTAATAAGATATTACAACTATTTAAATAAACTGCAGTTTTCAAAATGTGACATCATATTAATCCACAACTAAAAATAACTTACCACTGTGGATATAAATAGACACATTAAACCATGAATGAATGTGTGTGGAATGAGTCTCCGGGGCCAGAGGTTGTCCAGATGTCACTATGAACGACAGCTCTGTAAGAAAGCAGATAGCATGTCCACAGCAGGCTGTATTCCCAAAGAGTTAGGCTTTTGTTCAAATGGGATGTGATTGACAGTGACTTATGAATCATTAAATTCTGGACCATACATTTCAGTGACCACCAGTTTAACTCTCAGGACAAAGGATGTGCATTAATTTATCCTGCTGTGAGACTGAAAGTCATATTAGGGTGGTTTGTTGCATGTTATAATTATATTCCATTATTTCAGTTTCCTGCATGGTGGTTATGAAATAACCATTCGTATATGTAAGACATTATTGATCGGTGCTTTCTACAAAAATTGGATTCCAAAACTGCCTTCGAAAGTTCTCAAACTTCACTATGGGTTTAGTGTATAAAGACACGAAATGCTTGAAACACCCATTACAGACAATCTATAGGAGAAGAGCACTTAAATGTGCAAGTCTGATGAGTACAGCTTTGTTACTTATGCATAATTAGGCCAAGATGCACTCAGGGATGGCCAATGCCATCGGGCCTACCTTAAAACCCAGTGGCTTCTTTCTCTCTCACTGTACAAATCACTTCCAAGCTCATACCCATGTCTGGCGAACAACAGACCCGGGCTGAGCCTGGGCATTTGAGACACAACGCCACCTCCTTCATCAGTAGAGTATCATCAAACACAGGAGATGTGGATTAGCAATGATTAGCAGGGATTATAGCTGGTTAATGGTGGGAAAATACATTAGGAGCCACGGGCTCAGGGAGGGATTTCGCTCACGCTAGCGGATTTGCATTGATCCAGAGCAAATGAATGAGGATTAGCTGCATCTATCTACAGATAAATAACATTAAGCGTATTATTTGGGCACGAGCTGTTATTAATGACATTACATACACCACAACAATGCCGGTAATTATAACAAATGGGCCGAATAATGCATTTAATGGTATTTTTAAATTTGTGTCTTGTTCTAAGAGGGTGTTAAGATTTTCAGGAGCTGAGATTTGGTGGAAATACACCACTGGAATGTAGTGTGAGATTTCTTATTAGAAGACTTTAAAACTTGCTCTTAAAGAGATAGTACACCCAAAAATTTAAATTCTGTCATCATTTACTCTCCCTCATGTTGTTCCAAATTTGTATGACCAACATGCAACACATATTATGAATAGTAATACTTCTAATTTTTGGAGAAAAAAAACTTCTAATTTCATGTCCTGCAGAAGAAAGGAAATTATACATGTATGGAATGACATCAGGGTAAGTATATAATGACAGCAGTCATTTTTCTTTTGAATTCACAAGATAGTTGTATTTAAAACATGTATCATACACAATTTCGTTTTTATGACTATTTTCCAACCCCCAAAAGTAAACATCATTTGTTGCT